GAGAGAGAGAGAAGGGGAGAAAGAGTATGGTAGAGAGAGGGAGTAGGAGGGAGGGAGTATGAAATACTGGGGCAAAGAGGAAGAGAGAGATGAAAATGAATAGGAGAGTGGGTGGAGAAAAAATGAGTGGAGAGAAAGACAGAGAGAGTTGGGAGATACGGAGAGAGAGAGGGGAGAGAGGGATAGAGAGGGGGAGGGGGGTGTTTGTGGTCTGATAGTTTTCATAACTATTTTTAACATGTGCACACACTTTTGCTTTGGTTTCTTTTTTGTTTTTGTAGTTGTTTTGTTTTGTTTTTTTCTCTAATGTAACACTAAAACGTTGGCCAACTCGCTGAGGAAAAGTGTGAAATATAACTTCAAAAGAGAAAACAGTGAAACTTGCATAAGCAACAATACCCAACCTTGCCATGTTTTTATTATCAAGCTTCATATAGCTCTTCTAGTAGAACAAATGTTTGGTTGGCCCTGTACAGCACGCTAACTTTTACCAACGTCTCAGGATCAACGACTGTGATCACATTTTCGGAACATTCAGATGACAAAAATAATCAACGTTCCAGAGTGAATGGGGCAGAAGGTTTCCCACTTCATGACTTATTGAAGCCGATGAAGATAGGATGAATACTATCTAATTTCGACTTATTCTATTTAGAAACGTGTTAAAATGTTAAACTCTAGTTACTGCAACACGCTATTCTTTCATGGACCGTATCTTCGTACAACTTTATAAACTAATACTCTGTACAATATGCATGCAACAAAGTACCAGATTAAATACACTTTCCATTTTGATCAAAAGGTGTCCATTTATCGGTTAGATTATGGTAATAAAAAAAGGATGTCGCAGTTCATTAATCGGATTTTGTCTTAGCAAAAGCGTTTCACGGCATTCGCATCGCATCCCGATCAAATAAGTTCCGAATATTAATGGTGTTACAGGAGAGTAATAAACACAGAAGAGAAGGAGGAGAGATAAGGATGATAAAGATGTTTGATAGGAAAGAAGGGGGTAACCACACCCGGAGCACCTGCCAACCACCAACTGCTCATGAATCAAAGAGACGGACTGAAACAATACAATATTATTGATTTTATTGATTGCAAACAAGAGATTCTTTCCCTTCCTTTTTTCTTTTCTTAGATCTATCTCTAGTACACCCAAGCACACACAAACACACACACACACACA